TTCGCCGGGAGCGGCCACTGCACTCCAGTCTGGGCGACAGAGTGAGACTCCAACTCAAAAAAAAAAAAAAAAAAAAAGAATATTTTATGTGCAAATGATGCAAAAGTATAAAGACATTTGAGAACCACTACACTGGAGGAAGATGACCAAGACCGCAATTAGTCCACAGCCTTTTTTCTGTAAGGGACCGGATAGAAATATGTTAGTCTTTACAGGCCACAAACGGTCCCTGTTGCCTAGTCTTTGTGTCGTTGTATGTGTGTTTTTGTAATCCCTTAAACACGTAAAACCCATTATTAACTGACAGTTCATACAAAAGCAGGATTCAGGCCAAATTCGTGGGCTATAGTTCACATACCCCCACTAGAAGCCAGAACATTGTCGTTGCTCCATAACTGTTAAAGGAATAAACGTCAGGGTGGTTAATAACTAGAAGTAATTTATCCTTATCCTTGAAACACAAGGATGACTGAAAAATAAATGAACTAGGCATTCAGCTCCAGATTTGAGGAAACAGCAACAACCAAAAAGAAAGTAAGAGAATTTCCAAGGTTTTGAACAGACACTAATGAACCAGAAACAACTCTTTCAAAACTACATTTGAGTCAAAAACCAAGAGCTGATTCTCTGACAATCCAATAGAACTGGCAAACACTTGCCAACTCTGATAAAGAGAAAAAGGACACGTGTGTATACAAATCTAGATATATGGCACAGGAAAGAAGATAGGACTCTAACGTGCACATATACAGCGATTAACTCGAAGTAACTCAAATGCAAATACAATCATGTAAGGACTGGGAAAGATAGTCAAATATCTGTCACTAAATACAGCATAAGGCTCAATTGGCTTTTCCTTCTAGCTTTCATTAAATATGTGATTACTACATTAATTAAACTATTCAAGAGTAATGACTTCATGAGAAATGGAAGCTTTCTCAGTCTATTTTCAAGTTTAATATAACCCTAATGCCAAAACTTGATAAAGCCCCTGAAAATGTTAAGCCAATTTTATTTATGAATATAGATAAAGAAATTGTAAATAAAATATTGGCAAGTAGGATTCAGCTAAGTTTTAAATGATTAATACACGATAACTGGGAACAGTTTTCCCAGGAATATGGTAGAGTTGTGTGCTAGAGCCTCCTTACAATGGCTTGTGAGAACCAACCCCCCCATTCAGTGATATCACATCTGTAGCTTGAAGTCAGGCGTGATGGGTGTAGTATTTATATCATGGAAACCAGCAAATGTCGTAGATCAAGGCCTTTTCTCCCTAACCTCCCCTCACTTTGCTCCTGAGTTGGTTGCTAACCACTTGCCAGCACAAAATTGAATGTTAAGTATAATTTGACAATAGGAAGGTGAAGAAATGTGATCATGTCAAAGATACCGGAAAAACATTTGATAAAATTCAGTGGTCATTCTAAATACAATAGAAATAGAAGGAAACTTTAAACATTATAAATAGTACTTGTTTGAAACTGAGAGTGCACATTATATTAAACAGTGAAACATGGGATACACTCCCATTAAATTTAGGAACAAGATACACATATTCATTTTATGTTCTATATACATTGTTTGTGTTTGTATGTATATTTCTCAATCATAAAAACATTTAGAGGGATTGCTACTTCCTGTTTACCAGGTCCTGCCAGCAGAATACCATCGATGCAATGGACAGGCATGGTGTTTGTGGGATGTAAAGATGTTTGGAGTCCCTTGAGTCTATATTATGACAAATAAAAAGGGAGCTCGTAAGGCATGGACAGTAAAGTGAATACTCGTTTTCCTACCTGGTCAATACAAATCTCTTCCGATTTTGCTTATCAATGGAAATGAAGGCAAAAAAGCATTTTTCTAGGTTAACAGTTCCATGTCAGGTTCCTAAGGCTGTGTTAACTTGCTTTGGAAGTGGTATCATCTGGAATAGCAATTGTTTTTTGACATCATCACCTAATTAAATTTGTGATGATCTACTGTCATTTTTCATGACTCATCCGACTTTTGCCGTGGCCAAATAGAATCTCTAAGGAGAAAAGTTACTGGCTTGTGAGGCAATGACCCCGGTTATAGCCACTGAAAGGCTTTTATGCAGAGGAAGGATGACTGCTTCTGAGACTGGGGAGAGGCAAAGGTTGTTCAGGGGGATTTGGAGGTTTGCAATTCTCAGCCTCATCCATGTCTGTCTAGGACTTAAAGGAATTCCACTCCCTCCCACCAGTGCCCTTCTCATAGTGTAACAGATCTGGTGGAGTGGAGAATTGAATTATGCTCAGGACCTAAGTTGTATTTGCCTATAACCACAGGATATGGAGGAGTCCTCCAGTGCTCCATGGATGTGTTCCTTTTTGTATATATTCATAACATTGAGTTTCTTTTTCCCTGTGTATGCCCTCTAGGGCTGTATAAAGAAGAGAGGCCATTCTACAATCAGGTAATGCTACATTTGTTGCCATGGTGACTGAATGCCTCCGTTATTTAAGCCCCATAATGTCTTACTTGCCATTTGCAACTCAACCCATAGTATCACTGGTGATAACCTGAGAAATTGTGGTACCACCACAGTCATAGATTACCCAACCACCACTCCTCTCCCCAGGCAAAGAAGTTACCTCTGTGTTTCTTGAATATATATTAGCAACATAATCATAGAACTGCATTTTGAGGACCTGTTTCCTGGGGCTTCTTCTGGCACCAATTACTGTATGAAACAAGGTTCTGACAAGGAACAGGAAACACGCAAATTAGGGTAATTTGAGGAAGATTTAATAAAGGTACCAGTTAGGAATGTGGGGATAGGGAATTACCATCCCTAGGCCTGAAGGGATAAGGAGAGACAGCAGAATCCTAAAATGACATGTAAGAAACTGTGGGAAAGTCCAGGCCTCAGGGAAAAGCCATGTAAAGTTACCTCAGTCAACAACCTCAGATTTTGTCCTAGCTGACAGCACCAACCACCAGAAATGCAAGTGAAGATGCTTCCAGATGTTGTGGAGCAGAGACCACCTGTTCCCACTGTGCCCCAAAGTCTTAACCTACAGAATCCATGAACAAAACAAAATGGTTGTTTATATGACACTAAATTTTGGAGTAGTTTGGTACACAGCAACAGTAACTGGTACAGGTAGAGAAAGTCACTCTGAGGAAAGCAGTGACCACCAGTGGAGAGATAAAGTCAACTTCTCTACAAGGAAAAAAAGAGAAGAAAAAATATGCCTATCAGGCCAGGCGCAGTGGCTCAGGCCTATAATCCCAGCACTTTGGCAGTCTGAGGTGAGGGGATTGCCTGAGCCCACGGGTTCAAGACCAGTCCAGGCAACTTGGTGAGACCTCATCTCTACAATAAATCAAAAAAAAAAAAGCTGGGTGTGGTAGCACGCACCTGTAGTTCCGGCTACTTGGAAGGCTGAAGCAGAAGGATCGCCTAGCCCAGCAGGTCGACACTGGGGTGGCTGTGAGCATGCCACTGCACTCCAGTCTGGGCGACGGAGTGAGATTCCAACTCAAAAAACAAAACAAAATATGCCTGTCTTACTCTCCTCCTTTCCTCTGATCTTTTGAAAGTGCTCCCTTTTGGTGAAATCCAAGCAAAAGCTAGACAACAAGGTAGCCTGTTGATATATTCTATACAGGTCTGCCTCACAGAACAAGAAGCAGGATACAGACGCGGGAAAATGTATCCCAAGGGACAAACAAAAGTTATCTTGCTGAGAGCATTTGAGGACTTTGAACTAGATTCTGAAGACAACAGGAAGACATTGAAAGGTTTTAGGCAGGGGACCGACAAAATGATTATCTTGAAAACGATGTGCAGCTTTTATCAGAGAAGAGACTAGGAGTAGGGGAAGACTCCTTAGCAATGTAGCAGATCAAGTATGAGGTGATGGGGCCCTGAGCTGTGGTAACAGCAGTATAAGTGGAAACGGAAGGAATGTGAGACGCATTATGAATAAAAAACTGACCAATTTTTAAAATAAAAGTAAGGGAAGAGTAGACAATAATGCTAAGGTTTTAAGCTTGTTTAATTAAGGGTCTTGAGCCTACCCCTGGAGAATTCATCAATTCCCAAGGTTTCTCCCCCTCTTTTTATGTGGAAGATACAACTCTTCATCTCCTTTCATGGTTTTGCCTCCTAGACTCAAGTTTTTCCACCTACAATGTTTCAACCTGATTGCCCTACTATCACCTCAAACCTAGGATATCCATGAGCAAATTCACAATCTTACCAGCACACCCAGTCTCGAATCACATATTTCTGTCAGTAGAGCATCTCTTCATTTCCATCATCTAAGAGAGCCTTGACACTGCTGCATTTTTGTTGATTTGTCCATAATCACTCCTATTGCTTATAGGTGAATAATTCTTTTTTGCAGTTAAGTTTGTAGAAGCTAACAGTGTTTGTCCAGTACCTGAAATCTGTCAAAAGCTCTATGAAAGATTCATGCATTCTCTAGAAAGGACTCATTACATACCATTAAGGTCCCAGTGGAATTTCCCCGATAAGTCTGCCACTTCTTCCCTTCAAGACTATACATGATGATAAACTGAGAGATGTAGAGGCTGGAGAACTTCTGGCGGGCACCCTGGGTCATGATGCCGTGAATGATCACCGGTGCCAACAGATCCACCTACCAATTAAAACAACACTTTATTTTAACCTCCTGAAATTAATCGTTGGCTTGGGAAGAATCTACACTACTACAGGTGTGCCCATCATCACCTTACACGTGCAAGTGAAATAGACACGAGTGTTGAAATGTGGATGTGTGTGAAGATGTGGGATAAACAGCGGGAATGAATTGGAAGGTGCTTGTTGAGTTCCCAGCTTGCTTCCTGACAAAACAAAGCACTTCCAAATCGCTGAGCCCTCATTTCCTCTATACCTCTGTGCTGCCCACACCTCAGCTTCAGCCTAGCCAAAGCCAGTTTCCTCCCCTCTCCCCACACCAGACTCGCCCCGACATCACCATTAGTGATAAAAGGCTACACCTCCTTTAAATGTTAGTTCAGAAACGATTTCTCCTCCTAGCAAAGTGCTGCACCATCTTATACAGGTTGCTTAGCTTTCCTTCCTTATTCACCGGAGATCCTTAAGGCAGTGGACCTGTTTGAGTCACCTAACCTCTCTGTGTCTTCATTTATCTGTCAAGTGGAGATAATAATAGTTCCTATGTCAAAGGGCTCACATAAGGATTAAAGAGTTAATACATGTAATGTGCTGTGTTCAGTGCCAGGCACGTACTAAACACTCAATAAATGTTAGCTTTTATGTTCTCTGCAGTCCCAACAGCTAACATAGTGTCTGGTATAATATTGATGCATAGCAAATGCTTTGGAATGAACAATGAATAATAATAATAGTGATGAATAATAATGAAGAAACCAGGGATCATGCAGCATTACAAGAGGTATCAGTTACTGCCTTAATAAGCAAGTCAAACTTAACATGTTCTCACAGATGCCTGGCACACCCACATTGGACCGGTCATGACTCATGCTTAGTAACTGTCTCTTTTAGTCGACCGTAAGTTCCAGTCCTATACGCATTCAAAGGATATTGCTTACCACTTGCTTTGCACAGGGAATACAGTAGTAAACAAGAGACAAAACCCTGTTCTCATGGAGTACGGGAAACAGACCTTATGTCACTCTCATTTTTTTATTTGTTAACTGCATCAAGTACTAGTGATAACTGCAAGAGAAAAATGAAGCAGGTTCCAGGACAGAGAGTGTCAAGATTATCAGAAGGTGCAGCACTGTCTTTTCTCAAATTAGATGGTATTCCCAGTTGCAGACACTTCATATTTCCTCTTGGTGTTGTGGCATAAACAACTGAAATCACCAGGTGCAAAAATCATGTTTCTTCATGTAGATAAAGTACAAGCCTTTTTTGGACCACTAGTTTTTTTTTTAATTGAAGTCTCACTCTGTCACCCAGACTGGAGTACTTTGGCACAATCATGGCTCACCGCAGCCTCAACCTCCTGGGCTCAGGTAGTTCTCCTGCCTCAGCCTCCCAAGGAGCTGGGACTACAAGCTTACACCACTGTGCCCAGCTAATTTTTGTTTAATTTTTTTGTACAGACAAGATCTCATTATGTTCCTCACACTGGTCTCAAACTCCTGGGCTCAAGCAATCCTCTTGCCTAGGCCTTCCAAAGCTCTGGGATTAGAGCCATTGTGCCCTGCAGACCACTGATTAGTGTACCTTCTAGCAAGGTACAAGGTGATGGAGGTCAGGAAGTGCTTACAAGGTGAGAAGGCCTGAAGAGTGCACAACAGCTTGAGGAGCACCAGGTGACCACAACCAGGTAGTCAGCAGTGGAAAGTCAGCATTGTTTCCCCTTTTTTGTAGAGAAAGGGTCTCGCAATGTTGCACAGCCAGGTGTTTTACTACAGCCTTGGCAGCCTACCTGAAAACATAGGCCCTATGGAAACCAATTCTTTAGTTTACAAAGTTACCAGATCAATAAAATGTTTCACTGAATCTCTCAGCAGGGTAGATGGCAAAAACCACCCTGAGGATAAGGTGATTTAATAAAGGTTGGATAATAACACAATTAGGTGGATTTGTAACTGGTTTAATTTCCAAAGGCAAATGATGATAGTCAGTAGATGATATCAACTTAAAGGGAGAATTCCAATGGGAGGACAGTCTAATAATTATAAATTAAGGCTCTGGAGCCCAACTCTCAGGGCTTGAATTTTGGCTCAGTAACTTGTTGGCTGTGTGGCTTGGGGCAGAATAACTTGTCTATACTTCAATTTTCTTACCTGAAATAGGATGATAGTAACATCTACCTCATAAGGTTGTGGTGAGGATTCAATAGCTTGGTTTGTGTTGTGCTCAGATAGGGAAGCCCTGTCCACGTCAATATTTTGGTCAGGACTTTGCTAGAGTATTAAAACGTTACTGATCAAATCAGTAAATATGTAAAACTAGAAAGACTAGGAAATACTTTGGGAGACAGAAGGTTGGCAAGCTGAAACAATGGGTCAAATCTAATAGGTGGAAACAACAGGGTGTGTCACTCAGGGTTCTTTGCTAGGCATGGACAAGACACTTTGCTAGTCTTATCAGATTGTCTCCAGTGAGGAAGATCTAATTCCTCAAAAGGAATTGAGAATGTTATTATAAGAATTAAATTGAGCCGGGCTCGGTGGCTCAGCCTGTAATCCCGCGCCTTTGGGAGGCTGAGGTGAGTGGATTGCCCGAGACTGCGGGTTTGAGACCCACCTGGGCAACTTGGCGAGACCTCATCTCTACAATAAATCAAAAATTAGCCAGGCGTGGTAGCGCGTGCCTGTAGTTCCAGCTACTTGGAAGGCTGAGGCGGAAGGATCGCCGGAGCCCAGTAGGTCGAGGCTGCAGTGGCCGGGAGCAGCCACTGCACTCCAGTCTGGGCGACAGAGTGAGACTCCGACTCAAAAAAAAAAAGAAATACAAGGGGAAGAATGTGGTTTGACAGCACAAGCAAAAAGATACTTAGAGATCAGGGAACAGCAGTTCAAACTGAGTCAAAATTGGCAGAGTCTACAAAACAATGCTGAGACATTCATAGAACGTGCTCTTTGCATCTGCTCACTGCTAAGCTGGTTAATTTTTCTCTAGTCCCTATTTACTATTTAAACCTCAGGAAAAATGGAAGAGCAAGTGTAGTCTTGTAAAGAAGGAGAATGTCAGCCGGGCTCGGTGGCTCAGCCTATAATCCCAGCACTTTGGGAGGCTGAGGTGAGTGGATTGCCTGAGTCCGCGGGTTCGAGACCCGCCTGGGCAACTTGGCGAGACCTCATCTCTACAATAAATCAAAAAATTAGCCGGACGTGGGAGCGCGCGCCTGTAGTTCCAGCTACTTGGAAGGCTGAGGCGGAAGGATCGCCGGAGCCCAGCAGGTCGAGGCTGCTGTGGCTGGGAGCGGCCACTACACTCCAGTCTGGGTGACAGAATGAGACTCCAACTCAAAAAAAAAAAGAAAAGAAGGAGAATGTCCTCAGCCAACTAAGAAGAGGAAGAAGGGATCCAAAAGTTCATATCTGTCTGCTCTTGAAGGGATCACAGGCCTGACTGACCACATATTGAAGTGATAATATTTTCAGACATATTGAGTTAAATACAATGTAAAGTGAATTTCACATTTTTAAAAAATTTACCTACCAGAAAATATAAAAGTACACATGTGGTTTGTATTTGTGGCTTGCATATTTCTATTGGATAACACTGCTCTAGAGAAAATGGAGAAGTAAAAAAATCCGAAAGACTGGGTCTTTTAAAAGAAATTGATTTAGCCAACTTAAAGACGCCATTTTGGGTGTTGATTACAACTTAGTTAACCAGATTCTGTTTTAGTAAAGAAGTTACATTTTCTTTGTATGTGGGATGAGGGATTGAACCATTTATTTCTGTGCTAAAATCAAGGGAATTGGAGTAAAGGACAATGAGGCAGTGTGAGGCATCTAATAATAGAATACGCAATCTTGAGAGATGATGAGTTCAATACTGTAGAAAGTATTCAGATGTTCTAATCTCAGAAGAAAGACTAAATAAATAGGACACATCAGTATACTCAATTCTATTCCCAGGTCTCACATTCATGAATGCTTTTGTGGAAATCATAAGCTATTCTATTCTTCAGTTTTCTCATCTATTAGCAGGGGTTGGATGGGAATTACTGCAGTATAAAGATTGTAAGCATAAAGCTTCAAGCTTGCAGAGGAATACATGACATGATGTGACATCTGTCCCATCACTGATGATTAAATTTTCGAACCTTGATCCAGGAAAAGGGTTCCTTGGTGCTCCAGGCATTGATTGATCCAGAATGATGAAGTCTGGCCAGATTTGGAGCCCACTGTCCTTTGCCCAAGAAAGGAAAGAGAGATTAAATTCAGCTGGGTTGGTCCTAGACATTTGAGAATAAAATTACTCCCTTGAGAAAGGTTAATCCTCGCTGTGGTGAAGATAGAGAAAAACATAAAGGTCTTTAAATTTTATTTTATGTTATTTTAAAGATGTGGGGTATAATTCAGGATTAGGTATACAAATGGTTATCGTACAGGTAAAGTTTGACCTCTCTTTGGTCTCTACTTAGCCTGGTTTGAGATCAGGTACCCTTATTGATGAAGTGTGCCCCCTCTCCCTGGCAGTTTCCCACTACTGCCAACATAAAGGCTTTTCAGCATAGCAGTATCAACTATTATTTAAGGATTTTGCTTGTCATTCTGTCCATTTTATTTTCTGAAATTTAATAATTTTGATTTTTAGTACTTCAGCTAATACTGGAATTTGTTACCAGCACTACCATATATTTATTATACAATATATGTTCACTGTAGAAAAATTAGAAAATGAAAAAATATAAGTAAAAGCAAAAATAAAAGAAATTTTTAAATGTAATCCTTCCACCCAGAGAAAAATATTAGTATTTTGGTATATAATTCTCAAGCTTCTTTCTCAAGGGGAACTTTCCCCCTCTAAAACAGGGGTTGGCGACCTTTTTTTTCTGTAGAAGGCCAGATAGTAAATAATTGAGGCTTTGGAGATTATATGGTCTCTGTTGCAACTATGTGACTGCTATTGTAGCCATAGATGGTATGTAAATAAATGGGTGTGGCCGCGTTCCAACATAAGGCTTTTTTTTCAGTGGAGTCTCACTCTGTCACCCAGGAGTGCAGTGACATGCTCACGACCACTGCAGCCTCGACCTACTGGGCTCAGGTGATCCTCCTGCCTCAGCCTTCCAAGTAGCTGGAACTACAGGTGTGTGCTACCATGCCCGACTAATTTTTCTTGATTTATTATAGAGATGAGGTCTTGCCAAGTTGCCCAGGCAGGTCTCAAATCCCTGAGCTCAGGCAATCTTCCTGCCTCGGTCTCCCAAATGTGAGCCACCATGCTTGGCCCCAACATAAGACTTTACTATGTATGCTGAAATTTGAATTTTATGCTTCTCACATGTCGTTAAATATTCTTTGTATTTTTTCAATAACTTAAAAATGGAAAATCTGTTGTTAGCTCTCATGCCATACAAAAATAGGTGGTGGCCTGTGGGCAGTAGTGCTCTAAAACAATGTTCGAGAACTCTATAGATGCTATTCAAGCTTTATCATGACTGCTTATAGGAAAGTGTAGCTTCCTGCTACAGCGAAGAGAATGAACTCAAGGGGTGAAATACTGAACGGTGGGAGGATACTTAAGGTGGAAGTGTCATTGCCCAGGTGAGAAATGATGGTGACCTAAATGAAAACGGTCACAGTGGGAAATGGAGAGGAGGTGATGGATTTTAGCGGCATCTGTGGAATAGAACCAATAGAAGCTTGGAGATGAACTGCTTATCTGAAACTCTCTAACAGAAATAAAAAAGAATCGGCCCAAGTTCTTGGAACAAAGATAATGGTATTTACCATATTGTCCTGAAGCTGTAATCTGAAAATCTTTAATGCGTCCAGAAGCCATTCCCAGGGGAATCTGACACTCTGAAACCAAACAGAGGGAACACAGTAGCTAGAAGGACACAAAATTCAGTTTCTCAAATGTAGGTCAATGAAAATGAGAGAATATCAACAAATGCTGAGTTTTTAGTGTTTGTTGTGCACCAAGAGCTGTACTAGCTCGTTTCATTCACCTGGACGGTGCTACAATAATTCACGTTTTGCAGGTGAGAAAACTAAGGTCCACATGTAAACAGTTCTCTTACTTGTTTGGCGTTAAATCTTCAAACTCTTCACAGTAATATTTGTAAGTTATCTTTGGTAACTAAATCAAAATTAAGTTCCAAAATTTGCTATTGGAGATCTTGGAGTTTCACCAAGTTGTGAAAATGAGAAAAAAAAGTTTATTTAAATATCTAGAGCTTTAGGTTCAAAGTGTTCAAAGCTTCAAGCATATCTTCCTGCCTCCTCTGAGGGATTCTGATGATTTGTGCCAGCAATATTTCTTTTAAATTTGATAATGATGTGAGCTTGTATTTATTTCCTGACACATTGCTACTTACCCTTGCTGTACACCAGAAAAAGTGTGCTCATCCCAGCATGTAGGTGCTCGCCAATAAGGCATTCTACTCGCCAAATTCCAGCTTTGGATGGTAACATTTCCACTGTCTCAAAAACACCTTATCAAACCAAAAAGAACAAAAATTATTTCTTTTCCCAAAAAATAATCATGGGATACATTGGCTTATGCAGGCTATCAAAGCAGATCTACCAAATTCAGTTCCACCATTCCTGGACCCACCAAACCCAAAGTGCTTACTATGTGACCCCCATAGTTGGGGGCACTGGAGATTGAATTCTGACCACCCCCACTTGCTCCCTTGGAAATGAGAGACAGGGTGACTATGTTTTAATGGCGGGGGGCAAGAAAATGCTACAGTATCAGGATTGGCTTGCACTCCCAGGGTTTTTCAGTGCAAAAGGTATATTTCCCATTGACTGGATGTGGGCTCTGGGGGAGAGAGAAATCAGGGCGAAGTCCTATTGGATCCAGTCCACTAGAGCTGTCTAGAGGGGTAAAATCACCTCAGCAGCAAGAAGCTGCAAGTGACTGCTAAGGAGCTAAGACAGGAGTCCCGATCGACCACCAAGAATAAGGGTGAAAGTAACCAGGTCAAGGGGGTTTCATGGGGAAGAGTCCCATGAGGAAGTCTCTAAAGAGCTCCCTGCAAGAGAAAGAGTCAGCCTTAAGTATGCCAGGTACAAACAGTGTGAAGCTAGCTTGTAGCAATGGTGCCAATTGCAAGAGTTATCCTATCCCCTCATCTGTAGCCTATCCATGTTGGAGCTCAAAACTACAACTAGCAGGGAGTTATGGGGGAAGCATGATAATCACAGAGTAGTGAAAAAGAGAACTCAAGCATGTCTCCCTTTCCCGAAGCAGACGTCCAGCCTAATGAAGGCTCAAGTTGGGGGACGGAAGGTTGAGCTTACATCAAGTTCAGAATTTGGATTAATTTTTTGGAATGGACATTGTAATTTCTGACTTGAACTGGATATGTGATATAAGGTAACTGCAGGCCTGTTTATTACTTGAGAGTGAGCCGAAAAGTCACTGAGTTTATCAGAATGTTTACAAAGAAATAGAAACTATTAAACCTGTTTCAAAGGGACAGTGGGTAACCAAAATAAAATGGTGTTTTGATCAACATCGTGAGTAGTGGCATTAATTATCCATTTATTCGGTTCTATTTCCTTTATAGCAACTTTCTGTACCTAAAACTATCTTGTTCATTTGCTCATTTACCTATCTCTCTGTATGTGTGAAAAAGTAAGTTACCCGAGAGCATGGAGCTTGTTCGCTTTGTTCACTGATTCTATTCCCAGTGCTTGAACCATTTGCAGTAAGCACTCAACAAACACAGTAGGTAGAAGAAAGAGCACAGACTAGCTCATACCTGGATAGAGGTTGTATACTGCCATTCTATACTCCTCTTTTTTCCGTACCGTGAACACATGCCCACTGAAGTGAATAGAATGGATGTTTTCATTGCTGCCCATGCTGAGCAGATACCATCGGATCCTTTGGTCCTGAGCCATCACCAATCCAGGCAGCGTATCCATTACGTAGCCATTGATTGCTGGAGAAGGAGAACACAGAGAAGGCTGTGAAAATCTATTATAGAAGTTTCCTTCCCTCCAGTCCACCATAAATACTGACACCTATGAGGATTCCACTCCCACACGTATACTCTAAATTAATACAATGTCCAGGTCTCTGGCTCAAGGCTCGTTTGTCAAAGTGCAAACTGCATTTCACAGTGAGTAATATTTGGACATGGGATATATTACCATGGAAGCGATAATTCTCTTTAAAAGCGGGGTCTTCCATCTGGATGTTGCAGGGAGCCCTGCAGTTCCTTTCCATGTTTTCAGTGAAGTACCAGCTCTTGGTCTCATCAAAGATAGTGAAAAACAGGGCAAATTCCTGTACTGTCACTTGTCTCCCATGAGCAGGGTTCAGTGTGTTAGTGTGGCATATCAGAAGGGGTCCAATCAAGCCCGAGTGTACATCTTTTTCCTAGGGAGGGAAGACATCAATCCGATGAGTATAAACTCTCTCACTTACGAACAAGAGTGGATTTTTCATCAATTTTTATGCCGCTCCAACCTGCCACCATCTTCTCAAAGTATAATTCATCCTCTTCAGTAGGTTCCACTGTGATATTTCTTTTTCTTTTCTTTCTTCTTCTTTTTCTTTTTCTTTTCTTTCTTTTTTTTTTTTTTTTTTTTTTTTTTTGAATAGGGTCTCACTCTTTCGCCCAAATCACAGCTCACTGGTGAATCAACCTCCTGGGCTCAGGTAATCTTCCCTCCTCAAAATCCCAAGTAACTGGGAATTCTGGTGCTCACCACCGCACCCAGCTAATTTTTGTATTTTTTATTTTTGTGGAAACGAGGTCTCACTATGTTGCCCAGGCTGGTCTCAAACTCCTGGGCTCAAGCAATCCTCCTGCCTTGGCCTCCCAAAGTACTGGGATTACAGACATGAGCCACCATGTCTGACTCTGAGTAGCATTTCTAAAACACAAATATGATGTCACCTCCCCTATTTAAAACTTCCCATTGTATGTAGGATAAGTACCACAATTTTTAGCAGACAACACAAGGACCGTTTGTTTTCAAAGTGGCCAGCACAATAGACACCTGCTTACCAGATCAACATCAGAGAAATAAGCCCAGGCTTTGCAGTCAAACTCATCTTTAGTGGGTGCCATATGATGTTGTACTTTCCAGAGGTAAGTTCTGGTTTCATTAGGCTTGACAAAGTTTTTTCTAGGTTCTGCTCCTTGCCTCTGATCATCGTCATAAGAAATAAGGCTAGAATAAAAGGAATAGGGACGAGAAGCCTGATTTTTGAAAGTTACCTGCAGAGGAGAGAAAAACACAAAAACAAGAGCCTTTAGGATCTGTTTTTTTTTTTTTTGAGTTGGAGTCTCACTCTGTCGCCCAGGCTGGAGTGCAGTGGCACGCTCCCGACCACCCCAGCATCGACCGGCTGGGCTCCGGCGATCCTTCCGCCTCAGCCTTCCAAGTTGCCAGAACTACAGGCGCGCGCTACCACGTCCAGCTCATTTTTTGATTTATTGTAGAGGGGAGGTCTTGTCGAATTGCCCGGGCTTGTCTCGAACATGTGGGCTCAGGCAATCCACTCACCTTGGCCTCTCAAAGTGCTGGGATGACAGGCTGAGCCACCGAGCCCGGCCATCTTTTAGGATCTTAAAATCCTTAGCTTAGGGGTTAGATCCCTAATAGGAATGCCCATCTTCTGGTCTTAATCCAAATTTTTAGTACCCTGGGGGAAGTGGTACAAAGGATGGATGTTAGAACTCAAGCCTAAAACCTATAGAGGAAATCTTGAACTCAATGTTGCAAAGAAGAAAATCCCTAAACACTTAAAAGCAATTTCAAAGTAGAGGGGAAAATGTCACCACAGGGGTTTTAAGAAATCATAACCCCAGGAGCTGATACTTAAACTTCTTCATGGCAAATTCCAGGAAGAACGCATATTATCTTTTTAAAAGACTTGTTTTCAGCTGGGCTCAGTGACTCAGTCTATAATCCCAGCGCTTTGGGAGGCCGAGGCAAGAGGATTGCCTGAGCCCATGAGTTCGAGACCAGCCTGGGCAACTTGGTGAGACGTCATCTCTACAGTAAATCAGAAAGATTAACTGGACGTGGTGGTATGTACCTATAATTCCAGCTACTTTCAACTGAAGTGGAAGGATCACCAGAGCCCGCAGGTCAAGGCTGTGGTGACCATGAGCGTGCCACTGCACTCCAGCCTGGGCCACAGAAGAGACTCCAACTCAAAAAAACAAAAAATAAATAAAAGACTTGTTTTCCAGACTTAAAAAATATACATATTTGTCATAGAACATATGGAAAGTAAAATTAAGTGCAAGGCATAAACATTTGCCCACAATGCCATAATTTTAGATCCTTCTATATCCTTTATATAAACAATCGAGACAATGGATATTTTCTGAAAAAAAAAAAAAAAAGAAAGAAGAAGAAAACTACTTTGATCTTTGGCTCATACAATGCGCCAAATAACTTTTAGTCTACAAGATTTATTGATGGATTAAAAAGTTAAATGTAAAAAAATAAACTAAAAGAAAGTACAGGTGATTTTTCAAAAATCTCTGGATAGGGAAGGAGTTTTATAGACATAAAAGCCATGAAAGTAGAAAAAAGAAAAATTGATGGGCTACTACCTAAAAATTCAAGCATGTTTTATTATAAAAACCAACATATATAAATTTAAGAGACAGCAAACTTGAAAAATACTTTTCACTAAAATGTTCAGTGGCTTAATGTCTCATATATAAGGTAATATAATTAATAAGGAAAGCATTCCTTCAAAAAACACAAATGTGCAAAAATCATTACCAGTTAATTTATAAGGGAAAGTCTTAAAGTGTTCACATACATTGCACTTCTAGAATTTTATCCTGGGAAAAGAGTTATTACAGAATTATTTATATACTGAAAAAAAGAAACTGTCAAAAGGTTGTTCATAGCAAATGGTTGCATAAACTATGGTTTCGTAAATTCATGCACTAGACTATTATGTAGTCATTTAGAAAAGATACTTAGGATATGTTTCTGTTTTTTCTTTTTCTTTTTGAGTCAGAGTCTCACTCTGTCACCCAGGTTGGAGTGCAGTGGCCCTCACAGCCACTGCAGCTTCAACCTGCTGGGTTCAGGTGATCCTTCTGCCTCAACCTTTCCAAGTAGCTGGAACTACAGACGTACACCAGCACATCTGGCTAATTTTTTGATTTATTGTAGAGATGAGGTCTCGCCAAGTTGCCCAGGCTGGTCTCGAATCCTCTTGCCTCCGTCTCCCAAAGTGCTGGAATTACAGGCATGAGCCACTACACCCAGTTAGGATGTGTTTCTAATGACATAAGAAATGCTTATTTAGTCAAAAAACAAGAAGCAAACTTATATATGGTATACTTTTTAATATATAAAGAGAAAAATACATAGGAAAAGAGATAAATATATACACCAAATTGATAATTATGGGGTTATTTTTTGTTTTATTTTATTTTTATTTTTTGAGCCGGAGTCTCGCTCTGTGGCCCAGACCGGAGTGCAGTGGCTGCTCCCGGCCACCGCAGCCTCGACCCGCTGGGCT